AAAAAAAAAAATGAGTAATAATAATAATAATCAAGACACAAAGGACAACCAGAAAAAAAAAAGAAATCTCTGAGATGACTGATAGGCTACAATTTTGCAAGCCTCCAGGAGAGGCATTGCTGGTTCTGTTTTCTGTATCCAGCTTTTATTTTGTGTTTATTAAAAATATTTTTAAAATGTATTTTAATGTCTACTGATGTTTTGCCTACATGTATGTCTATGTACTGTCAGCATGCTATGTGCCTGGAGAGGTCAGAAGAGGATGCCTGATCCCCTGGAACTGGAGTTGCAGGTGGTTGTGAGACACATGTGGATGGTGGGAACTGAACCCGTGTCCTCTGCAAGAGCAGCCAGTGCTCTTCAGGTAGTCCTATTTGACCTTGAACTTCCAATTCTCCTTGCCTCTGTCTCCTGAATGCTGGGATTATAGGTATTTGCCACCACAGCCACCATGACACTGGGATCAAGCTCAGGGCCTCAGGCATGTTAGTTAGGTGGGAGCTCGTCCCTCTGTGCCACAGCCTCATCCCTTTTGCTTCATTGTCACCTGGGCTGAAATGGGGCCAGTCGTGGGAGCCAGGGTGTTTGGGAAGGAGTGTGGAGTTGTTGGAGATGTGCCCTGCTTCAGTCCCTAGCATCCACGATTGACATCTGAGTACCCCATACCTGTTTAGAGACAGACTGATAACTCTGTGGTACCCAATGAGATCAGTGGAAATTTTACTTCTGGGTACAGAAGTTGGGAGGCCCTTTATGCCCTTCATTTAATTTTTGGCACAAGAGTTGGTAACTGGCAAAGTGCTCCAGTGAGCACTTTGATGATGAGAATCATGGGAGGAGCTTGTGGCTGGGGTTTGGGTGACTCTGGTTACTGACTTCAGGCATGGAAAACTACCAGGTGTGTGTGTGTGTGTGTGTGCGTGCGCGCACACGCGTGTGTGCATGTGTGTGCATTCGCACACATGTGCAGGAGAGAGCAGTCGGTCCATCCTTAAAGGATCAGGAGAGCTGAGATTTCAGAACAAGTGCGGTTGGCCTTAGGCACCTCCCTGCCCTTCTCCAGGCCTTAGTTTCTCCACATACTTAAGCCAGAGGCCTGCAGATGAAGGAGCCAGGGACTCTCTGTGTGCAAAGATGTGGAGGTAATGAGCAGCTTCGAGGACCACAGCACGCAGCTCTGCTCTCCCTTCTGGCATCTGGGGCTTCTGACTGTGCTCAAGGCAGGGAGCTATAGAGCAGGCTCTCCCGCCAGTTCCACAGAGCAGCTTCCTGGGAGACCATGGTGGCAGCCTCACTCCTACAGTGAGTGTCTGCCCTTCCTGGAGGTTGGCTGATGCCTCCACCCCCTTGCCAGCGTGCCCATGTCTAGAGAATGCTGCTTAGTTGGAGAAGTAGCTTGTTTTTGAGATGGGTTCTTCTGAGGTAGACCTGTCTTAAACCCTGGGACGGCAGGGTGAACCAGACACCTGTGTAAGTTGAGTTCCATCCTAAGACTTAGGAGAACCCTAAGGTTTTCGAAGAAGCTAGGCATGGTGTATGATCTAAACTGCCAAGGGGACAAGACTAGAGCGTACATGAGCCGCTGAGTGCTGAGTCTCATGACACTGTGTAAACGGGAACCCTTCAGGGCTGTGCCATGCCAACCTGCGCGGCTTTGTGTAATAGTCCAGGCCTAACGGGAAACAGCAGTGGGAAAAGAAGAGGAAACAGCTTCCAGAAATAAATGTCTCCTGAGCAGAGAGCCAAGCCTGGTCTTCCACGCTGCTTGCTGTAGGTCTCCTCAGACACATTTCCCCACTATGGGGACGGAGGCAAGCATCTGACCCATTTGGAAGTACCTGTCCATGTTACTTCTTCCTGAGCCACAGACTGGGGGAGACCAGGCTGGGAAAGCAGCTCCCGCCCCCATAGGAGACCTTCCCCTCAGTGGAGAAGAGACTTAAGACAGAGGCTCAGAAAGCAATTATGGGGAAAAATGTAAAAAATGTATAAAATGTAGAATCCAGCTCCAAGCTGGATTCTTTACTTGACAGTTAAGGATACTGAGGTCCAGAGAGGGTTCTGGAATAGCTTGAATCATGTAAACAAACAGATTAGAAGTTGTATCTTGCTGAGCTGTCTCAGGCAAATGGTTTGGCCTCTCTAAATTTCAGCTTCTGGTTTGATAAAATGGGGGTGACACTCTGGGCTGCAGGCTGAGTGCATGGTTTGTCTTCTGCTCAGAGGGTTGTCTCAACAGTCCACTGGAGGAGTATGGGGAGGATCCTGATGTATAGGACTGTTCTCTGAGCCAGGCTGCCGCCACCTTCATCAGATCAGTGGGACCCACAAGCAAAACTGATCACAGCTGGACTGCTGACCTTGTGGATGGCCAACCTTCCCTCTCAGAAGGGGGTGGGGCTGGCCATTGGGTGGGGCTCACCCAAGTATCCAGCCATTCCTCCTAGCCAGTTGTTTGCACAAGGTCCAGGGTCTTGAGGAGGGTGAGAGTATATAGGCTGGGAAGGACTAGGGGAGGGGTTTCATCCATGTAGCCATGGAGAAGGCATCCTTCAGACTGGGTGACCTTCTGGTGCAGATACTTTAGGGTCACCTGTGCTCCTGCCTGTGAGCCCTCACCTATGCTCAAGAAATTCAAGGATCCCTGAGGGGAACTTTGGTGGAAGCAAATTTGGTTTGTCGTTGGAACCTCAGAAAGAGCGGGGAAAGGTGTTTAGTGTCTCAGCTCCCACCCCAGGAGGAAGTTGTCACAAAAAGCTGCCTCCTCACCCCAGAGCATGGCCTACTGGATATGGTGCCCCCAAGGCTGCCCTGGGTAGTGAAGAAGCCTGTGGCCTTTACTCTTGGATCTTTTCAGGAGAGGAAGAGGGAGAGGGAGAGGGAGAGGGACGGGGGAGAGAGAGAGAGAGAGAGAGAGAGAGAGAGAGAGAGAGAGAGAGAGAGAACCAGAGAGAGAGCCAAAGGCCAGACAGAGACACAGAAGAGATGCCGAGGCTGCCTGGAGCCCCTGCTCCATTGCCACCCCCTCAGCTTTCCTCCACTGTCTCCTGCAGTGCAGTTGTCTCTGGGGTACCTGTGTGGTCTCAGGGTACCTGTGTGGTCTCGGGATACCTGAGTGGTCTTGGGGTACCTACGTGGTCTTAGGGGACAGCACTAATGGTTCCCATTTGGGGCCTCCGTGGCAGGCCTGTAGTTTGGCTGTCATTTCCTCCTGAGGTCAAGGGTACTCTGAGTTCCCTGATTGTTTCACCTGGGTCCTCGCCCGGGGTGGGTGGAGAAGTGAGGGAGGTCCAAGTGTTGTGTGTCCCTCTAGGGCACTGATTTGAGCCCGTAGCTTTGGAAAACAGCTCCACGCTGCCAGGCAGGACCCAAGAGATCATAACCCGCCACACTGGGAAAGGGCAAAGCCTACTTAGGTTACAAGCTGTGTCCCAGACCCATCAAGTTACTCACAGTAGACAGTCACCTGTGGTACATTCCCAGGCCCGCCAGCCTTGGGCCACTCACCGATCACGTAGTCACCGAAGCCCACCGTGCTGAGCGTGATGAAGGCGAAGTAGAAGCTCTCCATGTAGCTCCAACCTTCCATGTGGGAGAAGAGAAGCGGAGGCAGCAATAGAAAGAGCAGGAGGCCAGAGAGCAGCGCCGTGGAGCCTGCCAGCAACGGTGCCTGTGCTGGGTCCTGCAGTAACAGCAACAGTCTGTGGCTCTGTCCTGAGCAGCAAGAAGCAGATGCCCAAATCTCCAGCTTTGAGCCCTCACAGTTCCTTCTGAAAGGCTTCCTGTCTTTGACTTGTTCCAATCTTCTCATGCGCCCCACAGACACTAAGATCAAACACCTTGTTCTGGGCTTTGCTCCCACAACCTCACCACCTACCTCATCTTTCTGACCCCACCCTTCTGGTTTGGCACCCCATTTCCACCACAGTCCCCCATCTGGAACGGACTTATCCAGGTTCCTGGCCACTGTCTCACCTGCCAGCTGCCTCCCAGCCACTGGACACATCGATGCACCCCTCGCTGCATAAGGAGGCCCAGCCGGTTGAGCACTACCAGGTTGAGTGGGATCCCCACGAGGGCAAAGAATATACAGAAGAGACAGGCAGCCATGGCCTCTGGGCTCAGGTTGCCCTAGCCTGATGCAGGAGGGAGGGGTATTTAAGCAGATCCTTCCCCCAGCTTTGGGTATGGCCACTGTGGCCCCCTTGTTTCACTCCCATGCTGGGGGTGGTTGCTGGTGCCTACCCAGCTCTGATGAGAAGACAGAGCGGGGCTGGCACACCAGCCCACAGTTGGCCTGTGGACTCCCATGTTTTTTTTTCTGGCTCCACTTCTTGGACTCTGACCCCTGCAAGGCTGTGAGAACCTGGGCAAAGGCCTTGGTCTTTCTGAGCCTACTTTGTTGACCTTAAAACGGGGTGCAGGCATTCACTTGCTTTTGGCTAATGAGAGGCCACAGTAGGGACGTACTGTCTGTGGGAAGGTGAACCCCTGAGCATGGAGTGCCCCCGCCCCGGCCCAGAGAATGGGCAGATGAACATGATGGAAGGTTACCATGCGGGCATCTGGCCTGAAAACCTCAGAGGTATCTCTCTGGGTCTTACATCTTCTTTCCATTCATGTTTTATTTTGTTTATGTTAAAAAGGTTTTGTGTTGGCCGGGCTGACCTCAACCTTGGGTCTTACATCTCCTTTCCATTCATGTTTTATTTTGTTTATGTTAAAAAGGTTTTGTGTTGGCCGGGCTGACCTCAACCTTTTTATGTAACCCTGAACTCCTAATCCTCCTGCCTCCATCTCTCAAGTGCTGAGATCACACAATGATGGTCTGAGTAAGGGCAGGGTTGGGAGTGTGTAAGGGGGGCGTAGAAGGTGGGATGGGGTGGGAGATGAGGGGTACTGGGAAAACAAGGCAAGGATCAAAGGGATGCTGGTCGGGGACAAAGAAAGATGGAGCCTAAATCTTCGGTGGTGTGAGCCTGCCCCCTAGTGGTTAGTTCTGGGTCATGTGTGTGATGCTGTGGGCAAGGGCAGCTGACCTGCGTTGGTCCCTGGGAACCAGGGCTGCAGGGATCCAGGGCTTTCTGAACCCCGCTGTTTCCACACAACAGCCTCACGTGCTTTTAAGACAGGCAGGTTCCACCTCAGTCTGGCTCTGAAGGGGAAATATGTCTGGAGGACAGTGCTAGGGACTGAGGGCCTGGGAGGGTCTGTAGGACTGGGTTGGATGACCAACGTCCTGTCCTCCAGGGCAGCAGTTTCCAAACTGGAATATGTATACAATTCCCCGGGGGTCTGACGAAATGCAGAAGCCAAGTCCATGGGTCCTGAGGCATGAGATGCTGTTTGCAGGACTGTGGGGGTGTGCTTTCAGATACGACTGCTTTCTTTATAGGGGTGACACCCTCTGGACTGCATTCACTGGCCCCTCAGGGTGAGGCTACCTCCCAAGCCACACCAGCTTGTCCCCATGCTGCCCTTACCGATGGTAGTGATGGTGGACACGGAAAAGAAGAAAGAGCCCACAAACTCCCAGCGCCCCATGCTGGTGGTACTGCCCACGAGCTGGGTCCCATCTTTGTATGCTTGAATGATGTCCTGCAAGAGATGCTGCTGTGACCAACAGGATCTTGGGGGACTGAGCCCCTGTACCCCAAGACACCACTATACCCATGTCTATACCCACACCTACACCCACACTCCTGTAGAGGCCTCGTGTTGTATAGACAGTTTCTCCAAAGTGATGCACTTCCTCCCATGACTTACAGGCTCGGAAGGGTACAGCAGTCACAAGCCCCTCCCCCAAGTTAAATTTCACAGAAGAAATTGCTGAGGAGAGGGGACTCTTCAGTAGAGCTGCCTACAAGTTGTGTAGTGAGCTCTCGGGATGTGAGGTGTCACCCTTGCCGGGTGATCCAACTATCTTTGAGTCACCCACATTCCCGTAGTAACCCTGGTAAACCCAGCTAGAAATGGGTTGAGATTGTTTCTTTGGTCAATCATTGGCCCTACCTAACTTGAAGAGACTTTTTCATGTGTCCCCAGAAAAACACACACAATATCTTCCTCTCTATTTCAAGTCTGTTTGGGGCCAAGAATCACTGATTCTACTACCCAAGGGCTCCCCAGGGGCAGAGATCTTGGGGCCAACCCCGTCTCCTCCTTATCCTAGAGCCAGCCCAGGTTCTAGGCCATCTCACAGGCTTATATACTCATTTGCTGTCTGCCTCAGTCATAATCTTGCAGGAAACAATAGGCAGATGCTGCCAAATGACAGACACAACCTCAGCCTTCACTGGGACAGAACTAAGTTAACTCGGAGATGGGGCCATAGTGATCATTTCGAGTATGAAGGGGGCTGTGTAGATGGTTTCGGGTATGAAGGGGGGCTGTGTAGATAGTTTTGGGTATGAAGGGGGGCTGTGTAGATGGTCTGCAGTTTCTTTCACATCTGTTTCTTTATCTCTAACAGTGGAGAGTCCTCTGGCTTCCCAGGGCCATAACACCTTGGGAACACAGAGAAGCAGAGGCAGAAGGCTTCCTGGAGGGAAGGACACTCATGCTGTGCTTCCCCTGAGGCTCTTCCCACCAAAAAGCATTCAGGAAGACAGGACAGTGGAAGCAGAGGCTGGGAACACATAGTGTGCCTTGGACATAAAATCATGGGGTTCTGAGAAACAGCCACATGCACAGGGCTACACAAAACCAGCCTCCAGGTGATTAACAGCCTTAGCTCTTGGCTGTGCAGCCTTGCAATTTTATCAAATCTCCCTGAGCCTTGGTTCATCATGGAGGTGGTAGTGTCTGCTAATGAGGCATTGACGGGGGAGCTGGGCATGGGAAGGACCAAAACAGCAGTGTTTACTGGCGATGGCCAGACAGAGACAGTCCCTAGCTCCAGCTCCTGCCCATTGGAGTGTCCGGAGGATGGGAATTCTCTTCACTCCTGGCCCCTCCTGTCCTACCCAACAATGCTCCCTCTCTCTACAGGGGATTTGGCTTCAGTTTGAGGATTCTGGGACACAGGTCCTGGGGGTCTCTGTAATGAAACCGTTGCAAGAGAGTGGCGATTGCACGGAGGTACTCTAGTCTAAGTTCTGTCCCTGCACTCTTGGCAGAGGGAAGTGGAGCAGAACAGTAAGGCAAGCACTCAGGAAGAGTTCTCCATGGGAAATCCTGGAGGATGAGCCATCTCCTGCCTCCGCACCCTGCAGCGTCCTCTCCTCTGAGGATCCTCAGGCTCGGGGACCTCTGCTCTTTTCACTGCCCCACTCCTTTTGTCCCTGCCGGCCCTGCAGGTCCAAATACTTCAGGTAAAGTGACCTTAGCCCTAATCCAGTCCAGGCCCCTCACTCTGAGCTCCCTCTCTCCTCTGCTCAGGGCTCCTCTCAGTTCTCTCTCTCCTCCGCTCCGGGCCCCTCACTCTCAGCCCTCTCCCTCCTCTGCTCCGGACCCCTCACTCTGAGCTCCCTCCCTCCTCCGCTCCAGGCCCCTCACTCTCAGCCCCCTCCCTCCTCTGCTCCGGACCCCTCACTCTGAGCTCCCTCCCTCCTCCGCTCCGGGTCCCTCACTCTCAGCTCCCTTGCTCCTCCGCTCCGGACTCTATTTCACCCACCGACACAGACTGAGCCGTTTCTCTCAAGTTCCCACACTCCCACCAGCATCTGTTCCTTCGAGTCTGGCCACACCCCCAAGGTATTTGCCCTCCCATCCTTGAAAGACTAGGTGTGGCCTTTCATCCTTGGTGTTTCCTCTCAGTAACCCCCACACAAGGCTGACCAGACCAAATGATAGCTGTCCCCGTGATGACCACATCGGACAACCTTGAAACCTGTGACACAGAGAGGCGATCCTCTGTATTCCTTATGGCTGTGTCTCACTTCCTTAAAGATGGAGCCGGTGCCCCCACTCTTTGCTAGCCCTAGACGCTTTCCCCTGGGTTCAGCCCATCTCCATGGTTCTCCAACCCCAACCGCCCAAACCTGTTTGTCCCAAGCCTGTTTACTCCACCTCTCCAATAAGGGATAACCTTCCCTAGAGTTACCCTGTCGGGGCCAGAGCACTCTTCATCCCTGCTGTGAGCTCCTGCCGCCTGCCCCACCCACTCCTTTCCCAGGGTGGCACCGCTAGTCCCCTAACCCGGATCAGCTGGATCAGCTGATCCAGCGCTGGGTCATCCAGACGCGTGAAGTTCTTTAGTCGCTCCCACTTGTCGCGCTGGAAGATGTGGCTGGAGTACCGGGCCGCACGACCTTCCAGTGCCCAGAACACACCGGCGCCCAGCACCAAGTAAGCCAGGTAGGAGAGCAGAAGGAGCCCCGTGCCTGGTGCCCGACAGCCCCGGGCCGAACACGGTGCCTCAGGAGATCGTGGTCCGCACATGGTGGAGAGGAGCCCAGGAGCGCTCTGGTAGACAGGAACCGGGAATGGGCAGGAAAGGCCAGGAGGGGCCCTTCTCTAAGCAAATGATTGCTGGTGGCCTTCTTCCCTCTGAGGAGTGCTGCAGGGTGCGATGGCCCTGCCCACCTTCAAGGATCCAATCCCGGCGACAATAAGATAACTCACCAGAGAGTCGGAGTGCCCACATCAGCATCAGGGGACCACGGAGGGGTCCCACCTCAGTGGGAAAGGCTCCTGCAGTCCACAGAGGGGAAGAGAAACTTTCGAAGTCTATTGTGTAAACTGTGAGACCAGGGACTTCCTTCAAGTGCCTGCTGCGGTCAGTACCACTCTAGGTTCGCTACAATAGGTGCACTCAAAAAAAAAAAAAAAAAAAAAAGGCCCCCAGCTGGGCTTGGCTTATGTTGCCTCCGTGTTTGTGGGAGGCAAGAGCATGTGCCAGGGCTCACACTTGTTGCTCCAAAGGAGGTCTCCGAGTCCTGATTCACCCAAAGCAGAGGCAGGGACCGGCATGAATGGAACAGATAGAGGGCTTCAGATTTCTGTCCCTTCCTAAGAGACACTAGTCCTGCGGGAGGGAGAGTAGAGAATGCAACCACGGACATGGGTCCTTCCCAGGGACTCCCCTCAACCTCCTGGACTCCCGCCCCAAGGCTGCAAATACAAGGATGCTTAGAAGCCCCCTTGTGACTAGGGAGAGGGGAAGTTCAAGGAAGAGCTAGATCCTAATCCTAATCCTAATCCTTTTAAAACTGAGCACCGGGCAGACAGGGCCAGCCTCTCCCCCTTCTGCCCACAGTGCTGAAATCTGGCAGCAGGCTAGGCCCTGGGGAACTTATTCTGGAAGGCCCCTAGAGTCTTTGATTTTTGTCTCTGCATCTCCTCTAAATTACCTTGTAGGCACACCTACCTCCATTTTCTCTTTGGAGAATTACTGGCCACCCTATGTGAAACACCATGGTCTTGAGGTGGGGTAGGATGGGTGGCTGGAATACTTGGGCATCATGCAGAGATGGGGATTTTCTGAGGTCTGGGGTGAGGGGCTCCTCCGTTCTTGAGGTCCAGGCCTCTGATGAGCTGTCAGAGACAGGAGCACCTGTGTAGAAACAGGGATCCCAGGCTGAGGACCACTGCCAGCCACGCCTGACCCAGGAGGCTCCAGACAGGCTGAGGACCACTGCCAGCCACGCCTGCCCCAGGAGGCTCCAGACAGGCTGAGGACCACCACCAGCCACACCTGCCCTAGGAGGCTCCGTGCAGCTGCCAGGCTGAGGACCACAGCCAGCCATTCCTGCCCTAGGAGGCTCCATAGAGCTGCCAGGCTGAAGACCACCGCCAGCCACACCTGCTCTAGGAAGAGCCATACAGCTGCCAGGCTCAGGTTCATGGTGACATAATGCTTGCTGGGGTCTGTGCCTGCCAGGGAAAGTGATGGCTGGTGTGAGGGCACAGTTACCCCCAGATTCCACAGGGGTGCTCTCTCCCCGCTGGTCCTCCAAAAAGTACCAATGATGGGAGAAGTAGAATTACGACAATTCCACCAAGAGCCCACAGGAGTCCCAGAGATAGCAGCCTCACCTGGTACCTCCATGTGCCCAGATTCTACTGAGTACCCACGAGGATAGTTGACTCTTTCTCACAGACAACATAGTCCCTAAAGTCAATGGTGCTGAGGGTGATGATGAAGGCAAAATAGAGCCCTCCGCCAAAGCTCCAGCCTTCCATGTCATTGAGTAACATGGTGTGAAGATGAGAATGACCAGGGTCCCCAGGGCCAGGAGCACAGCAACTTGCAGGACCTGCAGGAGCTGAGAACACCTGGAAAGTTCCAGGAATACTTGCAGCTCTCTGTCCTATGGGGCTCCGGAAGACATCATGCTACCTAGAAATACCTGGGATGGTCCTCCCACCTGTCCAGTGTGGTCAGATGGGCACGCAGCCCTGTTCCCAGGTCAAGGAAGACCACATTGAGCAGGGTGCTTATCAGGGCAAGAAGACACAGAAGGCCTGCCCATCCTCCGTGCTGAGTGCCAGGTTTCCGTAGCCTGCTGGGCAAGGGAGCATGCACAGCGGGGCAGAGAGAGACCAGAGCTGCCTCCTGCCCACCCCCACCCTCAGCTCCAGCAGGGGTTTGTCTCCATCACTGCTGGGGGAGGAAAGGAAGTTGCTCCCATGGCACTCATCCTGTCCTCTGCTAGAACAATCTCTGCTTAGAGAAGGCTCTTCTATGATGATGCTGCCCCCACGAAGCCCTCCCGACTGCCACCCTCGGCCTCCCTGCCAGGCATGATTCCCCGAGATGGTTTATGTAATTTCTACCTAATTATCCCCATTTGTCTTATGTAATCACAGCCATTCAGTCCCTCTTTAGTGAACTGGGAGCCCAACACTCATATTCTAACACTCTCCCTGGAATACCAAGGAAGGTGTTTGGGATTGGATTGGGGCATAACTAAATGGAAGGGAGGCCAGTGTGAGAGACTGGGGGCGGGGGTTCTGCCGATACCCCATCTTCTTGGGATACTGGGATGTTGCCTGCAGCTTTGAGAGGCAGTCAATGCCCAATGACCTTCCTTCACTCTCTCTCTCAGAGGACGTTCTGGTCTGTGGCCAGGTGCATTAACACAACAGGCCCAGCTCGAGGGAAACCCAGCCCCCACAGCAGCAGGGTGTGCAGGCCTTCTGCCTTCCTCTGCTACTGTCTCACCATGCCCCCGTCTGTGCTTCCTGTGCCACCACCTGGATAAACCACATCCTCGCCCCAGGGATTGCTTTTGGAAGCTATGGCAAGAGCAAAGTCAAGGGAGGCCCCTCCCCGCACCTGCTCCTCCCTCACCTGTGACGGTGACCACTGTGCCTTCAAAGAAGAAACTGCTTCTGAAGTCCCAGTTGCTGGGTTACCTTGGGGTTCACGCCTGTCACCCAGGCTTCCAGGATCACCCGCTGGAGTGTCATGGTCAGAAAGGAAGGGGCTAACGGTTATGAGGGCCAGCTGTCACCCAGCAGCTCTCAGGAGGATGATTTTATATGGAAATGTGAAATCTCTGAGTGGCCAAGGCTGGCCGAGGTATGTGCTCTAACAGGTGGAGAGCTGAGGGCTGTTGACAGGAAATGACAAACATGCAAACATTAGCTAGGACAAGGCGAGACTGATGTTGGATACTTCTAGAAGGGTCTACTGGGGAAGGTGGGGTCTGGGACTTCGCTCCCATGCGGCATGCGGTGGGAGCCCAAGAGCTCCAGGTGGGAGCCTGGGCATCCAGGGAGCCGGCCGCTTTGCTCTCTGGCGCCCTCTAGTGAGCATAGACTATGCCTGCAGAAGAAATTAACGTTAGGGGCCCAGGAGAGAGGCTGTGTACATGTGATGTGTTGTCTGTGTGTGCAGTGCAGTGCTCTGTGTTACATGGGTGTGTATGATTTGTGTGTCTGTGTTTTGTGTTTCTAGGGAAGAAGGCTTGGCAGGTTCAAGCCTGAGCCCTCCTGAGGATCGTGCAGGACTCTCTCCCCACAGCGCTAGCCCTCTTCCATCTAGCTGGAAACTTGTCCCAGGGAGCATCAGCTCATTCTTGTTACCCGGCAGTGCTCCAGAGCTGGGGACATGGGAAGTATGGCTGCTACTCCTGCCTCTCTTTCCTGTGGGAGCTGATTTTCACCTGCTGGGTGGAGGCCTCCTGGCCCTCAATTGGACAGGAATTAGCTTCTTAATGCTTTGGCTTCCTCTTTCCCATGCATGCAGAGAACTGGGCCAAACATTTCGGAGCATGTCCCCTCCCTGGAGACCCCCACTCTCGGGGACAGCATTTGCCTGTGGACAAGGAGCTCTGACGTCCCTAAGGGCTCTGGGTGTGGGTGAGTGGCCTCGAGTGACCGCGGCATCTTTGTCTCCAAGAATCCTGTGGTGAAGGAGGAAGAGGTGGGTGTACAGCTGTCCTCACGGAATCATGTCCGGACGCTACACTCATCACCGTTTATGTGGAGTGTGTGAGCTCTCCAGAGACTGGGTTTCCCCCAGATGTTACCCTGGCGTGTCTCTGCTTCCAAGCTCCACCTGCTCACTGAGAGACTGAGGTTTTGAAAGGACACGTTTCCTAGTGAGTCCCGGGTCCGAAACACTGGCCCCTTTGGGCTGCAGCCAGACCTAGAGCCTTGTTCTCGACTGTAGAACCAGTTTGAGCCTGGCCACTGCTCATTCCTGGTTCCACCTCCAGCCCAGGGCTGAGGTAGGAGAAGGCTTGAGGTGTCCCTGTCTCTGACTCACTCCTGGGATGTTGGGGTGCCTGAGTAAAATGTGTGCAGGGGTGAGGAATACTACGTATACGGGAAAAGCGGGGACAGGACTCTCTAGTGACACCTCTTCCTGTGGCCTAGCAGCTCTCAGGTTTCACTGTGCTGTCAAATGTCACGCTGTGTGTACACATGTATCTGTAATACATATCTGTGTATGTGCCGATAGTTGTGTGCACATACATGTGCTTATGGAAGTCAGAGGTCAACTGCAGGTATCACTCCTCAGAGCCACCAGCCTTCTGTGTGTTATGATTTATTTTATTTATGTATATAGGTATTTTTCCTGCATGTATGTCTGTGCCACATGTGGGTCTGGTGCTCGCAGAGGACACGGGATCCCCTGGATCTGCCATGTGGGTACTGGGAGTTGAACCCAGGTCCTCTGGAAGAGCATCCACTCTTCTTTACTATGGAGCCATATTTCCAGCCCTGGTTTTGTTTCTTTAATCTCTCTCGGTCTCTTTCTACCTGCTCCCTCTTCTCCCTCTCTCTCCTCTCTCCCACCTTTCCCTGCTTCTCTCTCGTTGGTACACATTTCTGGATCTGCGAGTGTGCTCAGAGGAGGCTGGAGTAGGATGCCATGTGTCTTCCTGCCACCCATTGCCTTGGGTCTCTCACCAACCAGAAACTTGCCCTTTTCTTAGGCTAGCCCGGGCTGGCCAGTGAGCTCTTTGGGGATTCAATTCAGCTCCCTTCCTGCCCAATGCTGGGGTTACATACACTTGCAATCATACCAGAATTTGACGTGGATGCTGGAGATTAAAATCAGGTCCCCAAAGGAAATACTCTTAACCATTAAGCCATCTTTCCAGCCTTCTACCTTGTTTTCTGAGGCCATTTCTCTCTCTGGCTTGGGTGGGGCTTCCCTGTTTGTCAAGGCTGGCCAGATAACCTTAGGGATCTGTTGGTCCTTGACTTTCCAGTGCTGGGTTTACAAGTGTGCTTTGGGATTGAACTTGGGTCTTTAGGATTGATGGAAATTTCCTCTGCCAACTGAGCTGTCTCACTTGCCTCACATCTGGATTTTTAACGTGTGTTCTGGGCATTAAACTCGGATCCTCATATTTGGATGACAAGCACTTACCCGACTGGGCACCTCCCGGCCCATATGCACTGTTTCTTTTCACATTACTGATGAAGACATCTATTAAGTTAGTGGTTTGATTAAGGCAGCATAGTGGTCTAGCTGTAGCCCAGAGGATCAGGCTCTGGACTAGGTTTCACCAGGCTCCAGTTTCCACCGCCCTCTGTCTCCAAACAGCATCCAACTTCTGGTCAGTGGCTCTGCACTGGTCATCAGCACCTCCACCCCCTCCCTGCTCTTCCTGGCCACCTTTCCTTGCTCCCTCATCTACAGGAACTGCTCTGGGCCTGCTGGGCCAGGTAGGTGTAGTTCTTTAGGAAGCGCAGCTTCTGCAGTTGGAACTGGTCCCTTGATTGAGCTCCAGCAGCTGGAAGATGGTGGCCCCAAGCATCAGGGAGCAGGTATAGGCCATAAACAAGGGCGGTGCCCAACATCCCCAACAGCTTCAGAGACCAGCCCAGGGCATGGTGTGACCAGAATCCTGCAGCAGTTATCAGGGTGGAGAAGGAAGAAGGAAGAGGTGAGAACCCCTGCTACTGCCTGCTCTGTCCTCCACCGCACAGGTGTCTGTGGCAGGGGAGTCTGTCTGAACAGTGCAGTGTGCAACAGGCCCGCCACCCCACACTGGACCTCATTTTTCTGTGCATAGCAGCAAAGCAGAGAAGTGCATGGGCGCCTCAGAGACAACTATCGTCTCCTCCTGAGCTCACCTGACCTCACCCCTGCTTCCGAGTGGGCATGAATATCTGTGGGACAAATATGGTTGGGGTGTCCACCCTGCTGAGTGGGTCTGATTCCTCACCCGAGAAGATCCCAGCCTCAAACACGGGAGCCTAGGAGGTATCACAAGGGTATGGATTAGCCTTGCTTATAGGACAGGTTGACCTGTGTTGGGGAAACCTGAGGATGAGTAACCAGGGTGACAAATCAGAGCAAAAGAAATGGCAGACGACATCCTTGCTCAGAAGCTGTGTCAGTTGGTGCTGCTGACACATGGGGGGTCCTGGTCGCATCACTTTCTGCCAATGTTCAGTCTGGCTTGACCCTTGAGCAGGTTATCTGGAGGATGCTGAGCTCAGGAGACGTGAGTGTGGAGAAGACAAAAAACAGAAGCGAGTGTCCACCCACAGTGCTGTCGGTGACTCCCTCGCAGGTGGAGTCACGGGCCTTGGTGCATGTTTGTGGCAGGTACAAAGCTTTTCAGAGATTGCAGTTGCACAGGAGTTCAGCCAGCATGCTGCTCGTGAAGCTCTCCTTTACTTGCTTATTTTGAGATTTGTTTTTATTTATGTGCAAGTGTGTATGTGTGTGTGTGCATATGTGTGAATGTGTGCCACATGTATTCAGGTGCCCACAGAAGCCAGGAGAGGGTGTCAGATCCCCCAAGGTTGGAGTTAACAGCAGTTGTGAGCTGACCAATGTGGGTGCTAGGTTTTTGACCACTGAGTCATCTCTCCAGCCTCTTGTCTTTTTTTCTATAGAGACAAGGTCTCATGTAGCCCAGGCTGACCCCAAGGTTGGCACATAGCAGAGGATAACCTTGAATTGATTCTGTTTTCCACCTCTCTTGGGATGGGATTACAGGAGTGAACCTACCTCGCTTGCTTACGGGATGCTGGGGCTCTGACCTCATTTGTTTATGGGATTCTGGGGCTCCGACCTCGCTTGTTTATGGGGTGCTGGGGCTCTATCCTACGGCTTTGTGTGCACTAAGCAAGCGCTCTGCCAGCAGAGCCATCTGTGTGGCTGGTGTCTGTGGCACTTAGCACAATGCCAGCACTTATGAGCTCTGCTTGTGTGAGCCACCTGACCTTGTGCTGGGAACTGAGCTTCAGTCCTCTTGCAGAGCAGAGAGAGCTCTTGACGGATGAGCCATCTCCTTGGATATTTTTATTTATATCTTGAGCTAAGTAAATTTTATTGTAAAAGATGAAAATATTAAAAAGTAGAAACCCTTAAATCCCTACAGGCCTATTCACCTGCTTCTCTCCTCGGTGGTAGGTTTGCACTTGAGGGTACATCCTACTACTATTAGTTTAGTATATTTATTTATTTTAATTCATTTAAAAGTTGTCTTATGAAGTAATGGGGTTTATCATGGCAGCTTTATCTGCAGATGTTTTCATCTGTCATAATACTATACTCTTATTAATCTCTCCCTCGCTGCTCTTCCCGACTGCTCCAGTTTCGCTTCTGTCGCTGTGATGAAACACCCTGGCAGAAGGGAACCCATGTGGAGGGCAAAGGAATTTATTTGCTTACAATCCAGGTTACAGACATCCCAGGGAGAAGTTAAGGCAGGAACTCGGGCACCTTGTCACACCCACAGGTAAGAGAGACCAAAAAGAATGAACACATGGGTTTCCTTGCTTGATCCACTCAATCTGCTCAGGACTCCCTGCCTGGGAAGCGATGTCTCCACATTAGGTCAGGTCTTCCTGTACTAATTAGCAATCAAGACAACCCCCAGGGACATGTCCACTGGCCCAGCTGATCTAATGTTTCTCATCAAGACTCTCCCTGAGAGAGTCTAGGCTGTGCCATGTTTATAAAGAGAACTGCCGTGCCCACTCTTGCGTGTCACTGTCCTCCCTGACACAGGGCCACCCTTCGCTCTCAGCGTTCCATCATCTTCCTCAGTGTCCTCCTCCTAAGAGTCTGTCCTTCTGCAAGATCTCCCTCTCTCTCTCTCTCTCTCTCTCTCTCTCTCTCTCTCTCTCTCTCACACACACACACACACACACGCACATCTAGATTATGCTTATAGAGAAAATCTGTAATGTTTGTCTTCTGAACCTGGCTTATTTCTGTTAGCATGATAACCTCCAGGTCCATAAAGTTCCCTGTGGTGTCCTGGTTTTTCTTTACGGTCTCGTAGAATTCCACTGTGTACCTGTGCCACATGTCCTACGCCCATCTACCTGTTGGTTCTGTGTCTTAGCTGTGAGCAACATGGTGGGCATACTTCTCCAGCTCCCTTTCCTGCTCCTTCCACAAGGAAAGCGGACACTGCCATGCTGTGTGGATTGATTAATTTTCTCAATGCTATGAAAATACCTGACAGAAGCAATATAAGGAAGGAAGAGTTCATCCGGGCTGATAGTGTGAGGTGCCATCTGTCACGGCAAGGGACAGCGTGGTGGCAGAGTGTGAGGTGGCTGGTCTCATGGGATCCGCAGGCAGGAAGCAGAGAGAGGTGAACGCTGGTGCTGAGCTCATCTGATCCCCGTTTTATTCCATCTGGGACTCTATGGGGTGGTGCTTCCCACACTGAGTGGGAGTCCCACCTCCAAAAATGCGGTCTAGAAACCCCTCACAGACATGCGCTGAGGTTTGTCTTTCCAGGTGACTTAGAACCATCCCACATGGCGTGTGATAGACCCCAGAGCTTTGGAACCATCCCACATGGCGTGTGATAGACCTCAGAGCTTTGGAACCATCCCACATGGCGTGTGATAGACCCCAGAGCTTTGGAACCATCCCACATGGCGTGTGATAGACCCCAGAGCTTTGGAACCATCCCACATGGCGTGTGATAGACCCCAGAGCTTTGGAACCATCCCACATGGCGTGTGATAGACCCCAGAGCTTTGGAACCATCCCACATGGCGTGTGATAGACCCCAGAGCTTTGGAACCATCCCACATGGCGTGTGATAGACCCCAGAGCTTTGGAACCAGCACTACCACCGATTACTGCTTCACAGAGGAACTTTCCCATTCACCAGTTGTTGCCCCTTCACCCAAGCCACATCCCTTAGCCTATGGGAACCTGATTTTTGTCTCTAATGGATTCCCCTATCTGGACATTCATGCAACACAGATGGGACCATGAGTGTTATTCTTGGCTATCAACCTGACTACATCTGGAATTAAATAAAACTAAAAATGGGATATGTTTGTGAGGGATTTTTGCTTAATTTGAAGAGGGAAGATCCTCTTCTAATCTGTGTCTTTGAATTGGAAAGACACATCTTTAATCCAGATCTTTTCTTTTACAGTTTCCGCGCAGGAGGCTTGCTCGTCTCTTGGAAGCAGCTGTGGTGTGAGGTACTGTGGCTAGGCCCTCAGGATGATCAGCCACCGTTGCTTCTGTGATAAGGAGAGGGCGATCCATTGGTGCATATCCGTGGTGGGAAACCTTACAGAAAACTGAAGCCAGGGGGAATTATTAAGTTTTTTTTGTAACGAGAAAGTACATGAGAGAGTAACAGGAGCTGTTTTCCTGTGCTGCAGGGTCCAATGGAAAACACGGGGCATCACTGGAGTGAGTTGAGACAGGGGAATGGCATTAAGAGCAAGAACAGATACAGTCCTTTTTGGAGGCAGCTTGAAGAGAACTGAGGAGCCATCTTCCCCAAATCCTCCCTGCTGGTCCTGGTTTTCTGAGACATTCAGAGATTTCTGAAGTCACAATACTTACTTACCCTTGCTTGGCTTTTTCTCATATATTTGGAGATGTGGGTCAACAGAGTGCTGGTGATCAAGCAGCTTCTTGAATCACTGAGTCCTGTCCTTAAGCAAGGGCTGGGCCTTCCCTGAGAGGCCTGGGAGCACCTAACCCTTTTCCTTTACTCCGGGGAAGTCCGGCAGGTACAAGGTCAAAAGCTCACCCATTGACAACCGGGGGACTTCAGCCAGCTGGGACTAGGGTCCTCGATCAGGCTATACACTCAGTCCATGGGGAGTGGAGTGCTTCTCGGGCAGAGGGAGTGAAGAGAAAGAGAGTAGACTGTCCACGGGAGAGAGACGAGTGAAGGAAGCTGGAGACAGGCAGAGGGAGGCTGAAGGTGCCCTCCTCCCTCAGGTCTGGAAAGCTTGACCAGGACAGAGAACTCCACTCACCTGGAGACACCTACAAGGATCTGCTAAGTGTCAGCAAAGTCTGCCAGACCAGGGGCCTCCCACTTTCCTTTCCCTACAGCCCCTCTTTGTCTCCCCCTTCCCGTCCTTTCTCTTCCTTTCTACCTCCTTCTTCTTATGCTTAAGTTTTATGAGCTACCCCAAATCAGAGTGGGGTTTAGGATGGTCTCTCTCAAGGGCATGTCCACTTTAACGAGGGACTTGAAAACATTTTTTTTTTTTTTGGTATTTTTGTTTTTTGAGGACAGTGTTTTACATAGCCCTGACTGGCCTGTAACTTATGTAAATCAGGCTGGCCTCGAACTCACAGAGAATCACATGCCTCCATCTTCCTAGGACTGGGATTAAAAGTGTGTGCTGCCATGTCCAGCTGACTTCTGAAAACCATTGGGTCCCCAAATCTACAGGAAGTGAAGTGCAAAGGTGAAATGTGATAGGATCCCAGGATCCCAGGGTCTTTAGAGCGCTCTGTTGATGAAGAGCCTTCAGGATTCCAGGGTCCCAAGGTCTTTAGAGTGCTCTGTTGATGAAGAGCCTTCAGGATCCCAGGGTCTTTAGAGCGCTCTGTTGATGAAGAGCCTTCAGGATCCCAGGGTCCCAGGGTCCCAAGGTCTTTAGAGCGCTGTGATGATGAAGAGCCTTCAGGATCCCAGGGTCCCAGGGTCCCAAGGTCTTTAGAGCGCTCTGTTGATGAAGAGCCTTCAGGATCCCAGGGTCCCAGGGTCCCAAGGTCTTTAGAGCGTTCTGTTGATGAAGAGCCTTCAGGATCCCAGGGTCTTTAGAGCGCTCTATTGTTGAAGAGGCTGCTCTCATCCCCATGCCTTCCTGGAGGGAGGAGGGGCTCAGAAGACTCAGGGAGCTCAGAAGGTACCAGAGCCCCAAGGTCCTCCCAGAGATTACAGAGGCAGGAATGCTTGCTGGCGAGGGAAGATTTCTGGAGCTGCCTTCTCGTTGTGCAGATGGCCACAGTCACAGAGATATATCTTCTGGAGGTTGTCCCCCATGCTGGGGTGAGTTTCCCATGATGCAGCTGCCTTTGAGTTGCCCCTGCCCCTTTAAGTAACCCCAGTCAGCGCATTGGTCATCGGTGCACCAAGCTGGGCTTCGGTGGAGTCATTTTGAGGTCCACTGTCCGTGCCCCATCTGAAGTGAACAGGCATTTGTTCCCATCTCTGCAGGAATGGTCGCACGCTCCCTCCCTCCGTCCCTCCGTCCCTCCGTCCCTCCCTCCCTCCCTCCCTCCCTCCCTCCTTCCACTTCTCTCCATTCTGTCTACACATGCAAACTGAGTGTCCTGTGCATGTTGTAACCTGTCAGCCTTTGGCTGGGTTTCGAAGGGATCTTGCTGGACTGTGGAATTGTTGCTCATATCCACATCCCAGCCCAGTATCTCCTAGGTGGAGACTGCTCCTCTGCTGGTGAGGGCGAGACACCAGGCACGATTTATACCCCTTTCCAGAAGTATTGTTACTAACAGGCAGAGCCAATTTGTGCTTCCCCATGGGAAGGGCAAAATCAGTTAATGACGAATGTGAAATGGCCAGGCAGGCCTGATGGCAGAGTGTGGCCTAACATCCGGGGGTGATGAAGGGTTTTCTGAAGGTAAACTAATAGGAAGATAGAAAAAGATCAATCTAGTGTACCATGGGCAGAAAATCCAGAGTAAACAGAGTAGCTGGGCCTGGGCCTCCTTCCACCTGACTGACCCTGAAATAAAGAAAAGGAAGGCCTCCCACCTGACTGTCCAACAGATGCGAGTGGACACTTTCTGAGGCCTACCTGCCCCAGGTATGTGCCCTGCGTGGGAAACAGTGGAGAGAGGAGGGTCCATCACGTGGTTCCCCTAACAGAACCAAGTGGCTGAGGGCTGAGTGGAGGCAAGGATGCTAAGGGGCTCCTGGAGTCCTCCTTACAGTGATACCGTGGGAGAGTGTTCGTGGGCAGAGGGGCCAGGTCTATATGGGTCTTACTCTATCTGAGAGGTCGCTCTCAGGAAGTCCAGCCTGCTGAGATCAGCAGCGAGGACATGGGACTGATTTCCAGGAAGCTTCCAACCAAATACGCAGTCACACCTGATACTGATCTTTTGAAATGATTTATTTACTATATTAATGTGTATGAGTGTTTTGCCTGCAGTATGCATGTGCATCACATGCATGCCTGAGCCAGAAGAGCATGTTAGATTCCCGAGGACCAGAGTTACAGACATTCTGAGCAACCATGTGGGTGCTATGAATTAAGCCTGGGTCCCTGGAAGAGCAGCGCTGCTCTTAGCTCTTTGATAGCAATCTTGCTCAACCATTGCTGTTGTTTCTTTTAGGAGAAGGGGGGTGTTATTTTCTTTAAGCATACAGTCTCAGTCTTAACTGGAAACACAGTTAAGAGTGGGAAAGGACAAGACTCTTATTTTCTGTCAGACCAAGAAGTGAACTGGGACACCCCTACACCCACAATTCTGAGACAGATGCGTCAGCCAACATTGGGCTTCCTCAGAGCAGACCGGAGACTGTGTGAGAAGGGTCATTGGGAAATGATCCCAGAAGTCACGGCAGAGGATTCAGGAGAGAGGCAGGCAAGAGCATGTCAGTAGCAGGCGATTGCTGTGGACACTGAGAGACTGAGTACACGTCAGATTGCCCACAGAAGGCAAGGAAGCTAAGTGCCACGTGCTCACTACCTGCGCCCTTCACCAGATGAGGGCTGCACCAGAGAAGTCGACTACTTTCGCTGTGTTTTCTGTTGCTGTGATAAACACCACAACAAAGGACAGCACAGGAAAGGACAGGGCTCACTCCTGCTCATAGGTTACAGTCTGTTAGGAAGGGAAGTCGAGGCAGGAAGCTGAAGGCAGAAACTGAAGCAGAGGCCACAGAAGGACATGTCTTACTGGCTTGTTCACAGATTCAACTCACATTTATCTTTCTTATACAGTCCAGGACCACCTTCTTTGGAGGATGCCACCCACAGTGGGTGAGACCTTCTAACATCTATTATAAATCAAGAAAACACCCCACAGACATGCTCTGATGCCACCCTGAGGAAGGCAGCTGAACGTTCATTCTTCCTAAGTGTGTCAAGATGACAACCAAGATTAGCCATGACTGTACTGAACATGTGTGAGTGCCCCTCTGTGCAGAAGGGCCTTCAGGTAGAAAGGCGTGGTCAGATGGAAGGATGTCGACCCTTTGAGGGACGGTGGGGGCACTGCAGTCCTGCTACAGACTGCTGGCCTTCATCTCCTTTCTTGTCCTGTGGTTGAAACTCTTGCAGGGATATGGCCCCCACTTTGATCTTAATGAAACAGTGGGTAGTATCTTTCCATGCAATAGATTTCCCCCTCTTCCAATTCCTCCCAGATCCTCTCTCCCTCCCTATCTACCCAACTTGGACTCATTCATCATTTCTGGCATTTACCATCTTTCTGCCTCCTCTTCCACACAGACCCCTCAGTCTTGACGGGAGGGACTTGATGAGACATCCTATTTAGACCCGAGTGCTCCAGCCAGGTGGTGGTGGCACACACCTTTAATTCTAGTGCTCAGGGGGCAGAAGCAGGGAGATCTCTGTGATTTTGAGGCCAGCTTGGCCTATAAGGAGAGTTCCAGGATAACCAGGACTGTTACACAAAGAAACCTATCTCAAAAAAGCCAAAAACAAAATAAAACAAACAACAACAACAAAAAGAACTGAGAGCTCCAAGTCCCTTCCTCACTACACAGTGTCCAATGTTGGATTGTTCTGTTAATTCCAGTCTATCTTAAGAGGCAGATTTTCTGATGCAGGCTGAGCAAGACACTGAACTATGTGCATAGCAGGCTGTCACTGGCAGCCATTTTATTGCTATGTTCCTTTAGCAGGATGGTAGCTGTAGGTTTTCTCCTACTGTGACGTATCTAGTCTCAGTTCATGCCAATTTAGCAGTGTCAAGTATGGGTCCATTTCCTGGAGTGGGCCTAAAACCCAGTCAAAACATCTGTGCACCACTGCACTAATATATTTAGCAGGCACACACTGTTGTAGCTCCCAGTGTTCACGCCGGGTGATACTGATGGTTACCTTTCTTCTCTGGTAGCAGGTAGACTACTTTCCAGCCCCGTGAACACTGGTCAGAGGGGTGAAGTTTCTAGATGACCACCTAACATCTTCTCCACCTTAAACAGAATTTACAACCAAGGCTGAGGAGTCCCCCTGCACCTTAAATGTGTGTGAGCTCTGGGATCAACTCTGAGCTCTGGGATCAACTTTGAGACACAGGCGAAGGCTGGACCTGTGGCTGCGTGGTTAGGCTTGCTCCTTTCACTCCTGTGACATCTTGAGATGTACTTGGTAGCTGCTGCCATTTTAGCCCATCTCCTGGAACAGAGAGCAAAGCCAAACCAGTGTGGCTACCAGTGCGGAGCTTCACAGTGAGCCCACGGCAAAGTTCTGGATGTGAACTCTATTAAAGGTGGAGAAGGATTGAAACCAGCGATGTAGTATCTCAGTGTCGCCATCTGACCTCGACAATCCCCCTTTTAAAGTTGCCATGGTTTTCCTTATAATTTTTTTATATAATTAATGTTACTTGTGTGTGATGCGATGCATACGGTGTGGGGGCATGCATGCCACAGAGTGCAGCATGTGGAGGTTAAAGAATCACACTGTGATCCCCAGGATTGCATTGTTTACTGGAAAAAACTTGCTTCTAGCTGTGGAATGGCTCAGCCTGAGCACACACCTTTAATCCAAGAGCTTTCTGCTTGAATATTGTAAACAGGATTAAGTAAAATCAACCTTAGGTCTAGAAGTGGAGCAAGCAACCAGTTGACAGAAAAAAAAAAAAAGAAAAGAAAGAAGAGAGAGAGTAAGAGGGAGTCAGGATGGAAAGAGAAGCACAGGAAGCAGAAAGGAGGGGCAGCCAGTTGCAGAGGTTTTATTTGAGGCAGCATAGAAGAAAGTTCTCTTTCTGGGACGGTAGCAGCAGAGGAAGAGCTGGGTGCTTTCTCTGCCTTTCTGAGCTAGCAGGTTTTCATCCCAGGATCTTACTGATAAAGCAGAACGATAGAGACTTACCTAAAAACAACAAAGGACAACTTATGGGAGTCAATTCTCCTCCTACCACATGGGTCCTGAGGATGAAACTCAGTCCGTCAGGATTGGTGGCAAATGTCTTTACTTGCTCAGCTATATGTAATCTCTGCTTGTGAGATACGTGAACACACTTCCCACCCACCCGTCCTCCTGTGGAGAGAGTGACCGACAGCCGAATTCTCTGTAGCATTGGACCAGTGTCACTGACCAGGCGGCTCTCCAGTAAACATTTTAATCTCCACATTTGAATTCAGACAGTCCTTGCTGTTCCTGCTCCACTGAGCCCAGACTGATGCTGGAGTGTCCTTTACCCTTTCAAAGCCTTCATCCCCTCCTCCCACTTGCAGAGACTCTTTGGGAAAAGGTATACTGTAGTCCAGCATGGGTCCACACCAAAGCCCCAGCATCCACTGAGATTTAAGGTGGATTTTAAGGAGGCTCCCTCAAGGTTGATTGCCAATGCCCCGTAGACCCGGGGCTCCCTGGCTGGTGTGTTCCTCTCTTCCTTATTCCCTCTCCAGGCTGGGAGACTGTTTCATACCCTGTGTGAGGAACTACATTTCACCCAATAAAACCTTTGAATCCATGAGATAACACCTCAGAAGGAGAGTGAAACTCAACAGACCTTAGCAAGCTCTAGAAGATGGACCACAGCAAGGTGTTCCAGGATCACTGCTGCCAATTACGAGGGGCTCTGGCAGGGTCCATGCTACCTCCAGGATCCAGAGTGTGCATTTGTGGGACTGTATTCCTGTGCTGTAGACTCATGAAGAGCCTCTGTTTGGTCTTACCTCGTACGCCAGGCTTTACCTGGATGAAGTAGGGTGGGAAGGAGTGGCCCCACCCCATGGGGCTAAACCACTGAAACTTAAGGAAGTAGGGTGACCCCAACCTGAGCAGCAGGTTTGGGTTGCAGCTCTGCCACTCACTCATCAATGAAGGAGTTTAATGAGACTGGCTCTGTGCCTGGGTCACAAAGAGGACCCAGACAGGAGGCTCTGGTCACGGCACTTTCCATCTTAAAGTTCATGGGAAGGCAAGGCTGGCCTGCTCCTGCCTCTGGCTCCCAATGACATAAACCAGGCGGCGACAAAGAAGAAGGCTGCCGGCCTGCCTAGCTTCAAGATGCCAAAAAAAAGTCAAAAAGCCGACATCGACCCAAACAAGTCCATGCTGCTGTGTCTTCTTGTCCACTCCCCGGGATAACGAGTTGCTGTATTTAAGAGCAGACACAGCAGGAGCAGGAGCAGGTGTTTTGATTCAGCTGTCCTCATCTCTGAGCACCGATTTCTGCCTCTCCACTGCCCTCCCAGCTCTAGCTGGGCTGGGAACACAACATGGGCTGCTGCTGGCCATTTTCCTTCCCTTTCATGTCCACTTAGTCCACGTCACAGAGCCAGGTTCTGGAATGATGAGAGTGTCACCGAGGCACGGCCACTGAGCAGCTGTGTTCTCCTTGTGGGGATAGGGAGTTTGGTCTTAATTTTGTAGAGTCCCACACAGCTTAGTGGGATAATGGCTCAGGGTACTGATGCCTGCAGAGCTCTGGGGAGCATCCCACTGTTCTCTGGTACTTACTGTGAGGTGCTCAGAATGGAAGGATTCATAGCTCCCTGGAGACAGGACCAGTGAATGATGGTGGAGGGTCTGGGCTGGGACACTAGCCCCTGAGGTCCCCTACATTCTACTGTCTCATCTGGCGCTCCGAAGTCCTGCCTGGCCTGCCATGCCATTCCTGGCAAATAGTTATGAATAATGGATTATTATCATCCTGTGTTGCACCACCTGGAATGTCCCCCACCTGTACAATATGATGGTGTATTTCACAGCATCAACAGCAACCCAGCCTTGCCTCCAGCTTCTTGGCACTACCATCCTTCCAACAGCCCTACAAGTCCTCTCTGGTGCTCTCCGAGACACCATCCTCAAAGAAGGACAGCTCTCCTCCTCTGGCTTCAAATTTGCCAGCTGCTCTGGGGTGGCTTTATGTCAAATCTGAGGTCACTAATGAGGGGCAGGGTCTTTATCTTCGCATCAGCCACTCTGTATGTAGGGCAGGGTTGGAACTCCATCAGAAAGTCAGTTGCTTCCCAGGCCTGAAAGAAGACAGGATGCTGGTTAGCTTGGGGTGGGGACTTTTCTCAGGACTGACAGGCACTGGGAGGGAGACTGGTCAACCCTATTCTCTGAATCCTGCCTCCCAGACTGTGCAAAAGAAAAAAAAATACTCCCCTAGCTCTTTGCTAAGGTTTCATTCCTCAGACCCTACTCATGCCAACCACATGGTGTTCACTGATGCCTCTCTCTCTCTCTCTCTCTCTCTCTCTCTCTCTCTCTCTCTCTCTCACACACACACACACACACACACACACACACACACACAGAGAGAGAGAGAGAGACAGACAGAGAGACAGAGAGACAGAGAGACAGAGACAGAGAATTTAAAACAAGTCTTTAAAAGAATGCAGTCTTGGGTTTTACCCTAGGCACACAGCCTTACGTCTGCGTTTGACTGGATCCTTCCATTCACATACATGGAAGTGTGAGCATGCTATGAGGTCCTAGTTCATCTGCCTGGAGTTTGGGTAATAAGGTACTGCTGAGATCTTCTGGGTGAAGTGATGAACACAGCATGTGAAACTGTTTCCTTGGGTAGGGAGGTTGAGGGTAAGGTTGGGTAGGGCATGGCGAAGGGAGAGCTGCAGCCAGCTTGAAGTGGACCATGGAGCCTGACTGGGAGTGAGGATAGTGGGCTCTGTCTATGTGGTACTACCATGACAGAATGGTGAGAATAGCCCACCGGATGGCTCGTGTCTACAGTCCTGCAGGGCCAGCACTGTGTATGAGCCACACTGTGAAATTCAGCAGAGATGCCCCCACTTTAAAATATTCTTTCAAAATATTTATTGATTTTTTTTGTATTACTCACAGTGGTGTGTGTTTGTGTGCCTGTATGCCTTGGCGTGTGTGTAGAGGACATGGGCAATTTGTGGCCACTGTTTTTTTTCCTTTCACCACACAGATGCTGGCAATGAACCCCAGGCCATCAGGTCTGGACCCTCACCAGCTGGGCCATCTCACCCGCACCCTCACATATTCAGACCTGTCCCAACCCAATTCACTCAGGACACGTCCTAGCTTACAAAAGAGGTGTGCTCAGCTCCAAGGCCTTTTAGACTCCACACGCCACACCGCAAACCCCCATGGGACCGGAATTTCTGCAGGTGGCCTGGTAATTCTAGTGTACAGACACGGCTGAATTTCCTAGTTTCATCTTTCCAGGCCGAGGACATGTGGGGTGAGAGCTGGGACCACCTCAGGCCTCAGGTCTGGGGCAGCTGTGCCCGGGAGGGCTGAGGAAGGATGCCACCCAGCAGAGCTGAGCGCACTACTTGAGAACATGGCTCCTCTCACGAAGGGCTCACCACACAGCCTTTCAGTACCATTTCTGCTGCGCACACTGTGTCCCCACTGAGCAGCAGAGCTGGAGTAGCAGGGGTGATGGCACTCCTGGAACAGATACCGACAGCATAGACGCATCACTAAATGGGACCAGGTCTCATCACCAGGGCCTCCTTCCCTGCTGCCAACTCTGGCGCTCAGTACATACGAGAGACTTTATCTCGGACAGGTGAGGCGGCCGCTGTTTATGACACACAGACCACAGCATGACAATGGCAGAGATGGCTTTATTTGAGGCCTTGTTCTTCCTAAACCTCTAAGAGCTAGTGTGGTCTCTCCCTCCCTCCCTCCCTCCCTCCTTCTCTCCTTCCCCTTTTCTGTCCCTTCTTCCCTTCCTCTCTCTCTGACCCCTGGAAGGCTCCCAAGCAGGAGTTCAAGGCTCCTTGGTAGGGCCTTTCCCTGGCACCTCTTGGAGAAGGAGGACTTGTGGTTATGGGGTTGCTCCAAGGGACGTTTGAATGTTAATGTTAACACTTCCAAATTGGAAGATTAAGGAAGATTATAAAAGGGGCTGCAGAAAGGAGCTAACCCCATTTCCTCCGCTGCTCAACCCATGCTTGGCAGCGGAAGGCAGCTTTGACTCCACGGATGACTAATGCCCCTATGGGGTACATATACCTGTCTGTGGGGGCCCCTAGCAGGGATTTAAACGTTTGCTGGCATTTTTCTGGATCCTAAATCAAGCCGATTCATGCTGGATCTTGGTGCATTCTCAAAACAGGGAGCCTTATGTTAAATTGCCTGCTTTGGGCTCCTGTTGCTAGTGAAGTCACAAATTCCTAGTAATGAGTGCTGGGAAGAAGCCCTGACAGGGTAGCAACCCAAATGAAGATCAGGGAGCCCCAGGCAGGGCAGAGTGTTTGCTTTGGCTGGGAAGGTGCTGGCCTGCCTGCAGTTTGCCTGACAGCAAGCCTGAGAAGTGAGCTTCATACACAAGGCCACACAGTGTGCCCTGGACCATCTGCCCTGTCTAGTTAGGTCTGACCTGGGCAGGGGGATGGCCCCGTGTCCCCCTCTCCATGGCTTCCCCTGAGTCTGCACGGTCACTAAGAAACCAGGAAGCTTTTATTTTCCCCTTTGGGAATAGCAGCTAGATGTGGGACTTGTGTGTGGTGTGTGATTTGATGAATTACTCCCAGGTTTCTGACTGTTTGGAGAACAGCACTCCCATCCTGGTCCCCCGTACCCCCAGGCCAAGAGGCACAGCGGAGGGGGCAGCCCTTGCTGGCCGTGGCTTTCCAGACAGTGTGGCTCAGTGGAGAGAGCAGAACACAGGCTTCCTTGGCTTTGGCTTTAGCTGTCTAACCTTAGGCAGCATCTTCAAGTGCAGTGAGCCTCAGGTCCCTCACTTGTCTTGCCTCCCTCTGTGTGTGTCTTCTAGTGTGTCAGGAACAAAAAATGCACTACTATAAATGAAAAACTTCGCCAGTTCTGACTAACCTCTGTGTAGGTGTGTTCATGTGTGCACGTGTGTGTCTATGTGCGTGTGCATATGTGAGTTGTGTGCTCGTGCACATGTGTGCATGTGGAGGCCAGAGTTTAATCTTTGGTATTGTTACTGGGCTGGCATCCATCTAATGTTTGGTTAATTAATGAACTTAGAATGTGTGCTGTGGCCTGCATGTGGCACTCAGAAGGCAACTTGCGGGGTGAGGGGGGCTATCTGTCACTGTTCCCTGTGTGTGCTGGGGATCAAAGCTCTCAGGCTTGGCAATAAGCACCTTTGCCTGCTGAACCACCTCACTGGTCCCACCTTGTTTTTTTCAGACAGGCTTTCCCACCTAGGCTGGCCAGAGAGACCAGGAGGGGCCTGTCTGTCCCTGCTTCCCCAGCACTGGGGTTAGAGACCAGGAGGGGCCTGTCTGGCCCTGCTTCCCCGGCACTGGGGTTAGAGACCAGGAAGGGCCTGTCTGGCCCTGCTTCCCCGGCACTGGGGTTATGAATGTGTGTGTCCATGCCCAGCTGTTTTTATTGGTCCTGGGGATGAAAATTGGGTCCTTGTGTCTGTGCAGCAAACATTACCTATGGGGATCTCTCCCCAGTCCTGATACTTGCCTTAAAGTAAAGTGCTCATGACAAGTGGTGGTGGCACACACCTTCACTCCAACACTAGGGGAACAGCGCAGGCAAGTCTTTGAGTTCAGGGCCAGCATGGTCTACAAAGTGAGGACCAGGGCTATAGAGAGAAAGCCTGTCTCAAAAAACAAAACAAGAAAAAGTGAAGTGCCCTGGCTTGTGGCTCTCTAGACTGTAAGGGACAGTGCCAGCCGGAAAGTCGCTGACACCAACCTTGGGCTCGCACCTCTTTTCCCAGGAGAGTTGGGTGACATTTCTCTTATTACAAAGGTGGTTGCAGCACAACTTAAAAATACTGCTTCCTTGTGGGCTCTGGGGGGCGGGTGAGGAGGGGGGATGCTGCTTCCTTGTGGGCTCTGGGGGGGATGCTGCTTCCTTGTGGGCTCTGGGGGAACTTTGGCAGTCAACTTGATTGGACTGAAAGTGCCTAAGATGTCAGAAAAATCATTTCTGGGTGTGGCATTTGCCGAAAGGATTAACAAGCAGGGAAGAGTTTAGTAGGCTAGGGGTCCAGACAGGATAAAAGGGGAAACCGAGAAAGCCTTCCTAGCTCCATCCTGTGAGTCCTTCCCTGTCCTTCCTGCCAAGGTAGCCTGGCGGTTTTGACACCAGGAGCCCAAAGAGAACTCTTTTCCTTAGAGCTGTCTGTTCAGGTCATAGCAACTAAAGGTGAAGGACACGCCCCCCCCCCCCCCCCCCCCCCCCGTCAAGTGCACGGCATCCTAGCAGCATTTCTGCCCACAGACAACCTCATCTTCAGTCTCCATGGAGCGACACGGCCTCCTGGCCTCCTGCTTTTCTTCAGTTGTTCCCAGCTCCCTCCTCTGCACAGCTGCCCTCCCAGGGGAGCTGCCTGTATCTCTGATCCGCTGGCTTCCTCCTGCCCTCCCCACACATGCCTGGCTACCATGAGATGGCACTTAGCCACCTGTGCCGCGCGGTGGGCCCATGCTGCTGTCCTGGCGCTCACACAGTGGGCCTCCAGTGACAGCCTGGTTGTCTGGTGTGAGGATGTGAGGATGGCAGCTTCCTTCAGCTCCGGTGCCCATCCGCGTGCAAGCTGCAGGCAGGTGGTGAAGAGACTGAGCAGGGTATCCACCCAGGCAAGGGTCCGCCGTGTGACCCAAGACTTCCTCCATTTATGCTGTCTGTGGTTTGCGTTTGTGACAAGGCTTAGTTCTCCATGCGGTGAGGCTAGCAGGTGAGACCTTTAGGAGGTGAGGTCTATTGGGGGGTCCTTGGGTCACTGCAGAAGCCTGAGCCCTGAATCCCTCTCTGGGCTCCTGTCTCCCCTCTTACTCCCATCCGCCATGGGGTTCTGAGAAGAGGAGAGCTGCTCCAACTATTTTGTGTGTCCCTGAACCCCCAGAACTGGGTTAAACGAACCACTCCTCTTTACTAAGCTACCCAGGCTTCACAGTTCATTCCAGCAATGGAGCACAGACAGACAGGCATGCCATCAGGGGGGCAGCCTTTGACAAGCCATGACACTGCGAAGTCTTTGGACTGTTGGGATGAGGCAAGGACGAAATGTAAGTATAGGGTAGGGGTCTGGCCTTGTTCCTGTGGCTGTCTGGGACTGGCAAAGGCTTGTCCATAGCATGGCTAGCTGCCAAGTGAGCAGGCCAGTGAGCAGTCAGGAGGGGCCTTCTGCTCTTCCTGCGGTGGGACAGGTATTTCCTTTATGGCTGACACAGTGTCCCCAGTCCTGGGCCTTCAAGTGGTGTTTACATTCACAACTCCTTGGCAAGAACTATGCTTCAAGGAGAGTGAAGACTCTAGCCAGGGTTTCAATGAATACCAAACCACCCTCAGCTCCTTCCTGTTTAGAGAAGGCTGGACAGGGAGCGAGAGATGTCTTCAGGGGACAGAGAACAACCAAGGTCTGGAATAGGGAGACAGAGCCTGCCCAGGAGCAGCAGGAGCCCCCAAGCCACCGGCCCACACATCTGCCCCCAGGTCTTGGAGAAGCAGGGCTCAGCTCACACGAGGTGACCCAGACTCCTTTGCAGCTCCCTGCTCAGTCCCTGTGTGGGACAGAAGAGTAGGGGTAGCCAGGCCTTGGCGGGTGTCCAGGGGATGTTCTTACATTTCTTCTGCAGAACGTTCTGCCTGGCCTTGATGAATGCCAGGATGTCTGAATCTGTCTGGCTGTCTCCAGTGAGAGGGATGGATGACATCGGCCTTTCGGAGATGCTGAGGACAAACACAAGTCACAGTTTTAAAAGTCACTACACTGTATTCCTGGATGTTGCTTTTCCAAAGTGATTTCCTATCTTACTTAATTTTGCTTTTTAAAGATTAAAACGTGTGTGTATGTGTCTGTCTGTGTATGTGTGTGTCTGTCGGTCTCTATGTGTATATCTGTGTGTCTCAGTGTGTGTGCGTGCGTATGTCTGTCTCTCTTTCTGTATGTGTCTGTGTGTATGTTTATGTGTGTCTGTCTGTCTCTGTGTGTATTTCTGTCTGTCTGTTTCTGTGTGTGTGTGTGTCTGTTTCTCTGTGTGTCTGTGTGTATGCACATGTGTGCACACGTGTGTGTCACACACACATGTCATCAGAGCATAACTTGTGGCAAATGTTTTCTCCTACCGTGGGCTCTGGGACGAGCTCAGGCCATCACACTTGTGGAACATGCGCCTTGACCCTCTGAGCTGGCCTTCCTTTCTGCTTTGGTCATTGGTTTCCATCTGACCTCCCAGCTTTCCACTTCCTCTGTGTGAAGGCCACACCAGTTCTTTCACTGTGCTACTAAATCCCCCTTCCTATCTCTCCCAGAACAGAAATCACGCCCTGCCCCAAGACTTCCTGGCTTCCCTGTGCTCTGACTCTGGTTCTCTTCCCAGCTTGCTTTCTGCAACTTCAATAAACCAATTCCTTCCAGTCTTGAGACCTTGGCTCTAGCTGCTGCTTCTCCCTGTTGCTGCCCTAGACCCACCCTCAGGCAGCCCAATAGTGCCAGGCATGAGACTGGAGCAGGAGGGGAGGGGCCAGTATCCTTCCCTTTATCAAGAGAATTTCTGGAAATTTCAGCAACTCTTCTGTTTACAAATTTCATTGGCCTTGTGGCTGCAAAGGATGCTGTGAAATGTAGTTTATTAACAGTGGCACTTTGGCTAAATATGGTTGCGATCTGAAAGAATAGCAGTCTCTGCCTCTGGGGCAAAGAGCTACACCTTGTCAACAGTTCCTGGATGTGAAAGGAGAAGCTAGTTTGAGTAAGTCTGGGATGATAAAACAGGAAGGGGAAAGGTGACATGTTACCCTAGACAGGACCACAACCTCCTAGAGAGGCTAGTCAGCACTAGCAGCACTGCCCAAATGGACTTATTTAATAATTAATTAATTAATTTTAAACAAATTCCTACTACATAGACTGACCTTAAACTCACAGAGATCATCTGCCTCTGTCCCCCAAGCGCTGGGACTAAAGGGTGCCACCACCCCTGGAGCATCTTATACACACATCAGAAGATGAAGGGCCTCAGAGCTTTGGGGGAAAACCCCCAGTTTAGAGAGTCAGCACACAAGAGAAGATTTGCGGAAGTCAGTCCCAGCTTCTGTCTACAGAAATTGGACCCTCATGCCCCCTCAGGTTGTTGGGGATGCAGACTTTAGGGCTCACGCTGTCCACTGTAGCGGCTGTCACAGTATTAGGAGAGGAGGGCATACCTGTCTTGCAGCTGGGTCCTGGAGCTACTGGGCTCTTGGCTGTGCTGACTGGGGCATGGGGAGGGGAGGATTCTTCTGGCATCCCTGTCGTAGCTAAAATAAACCAACAGAAGCCAGAAGTCAGGAGGAAGTGAGGAGGAGATTCTCAGGGCGCGCATGTCCTCTGCAGATTTCCATGCTAAAGCCCTAGTTCCCAGAGTGATGGCATTTGGAGGTGGCCTTGGGGAGGTGACCAGACAGATGACATCTTGTGGGTGGAGCCCTCAGAATGGGCCTGGTGCCCTTGCTAGAGGAAGACAGACTAGAGCACGCTGTCTGGACACTGCAAGGAGGGAGCCCGCAGCAAGCTGTACATCTCTGTGCTACAGAAACCATAGGCTGAACCCAGCCCTAAAGTGGTGGAGACAGAGTCCTTGGGAGGCGAAGACGTCATGAGGCAAAGTCCTCAAGATGGGGATTAACAATTTTACAAAGGAACACGAGTACTTCCTGACCCTGCTACTTGGTGTGGGGGTGGGCAGAACCCTTACCAGATATCCAGACTGCTAACTCCATCTTTAGCTTTCTGGCCTTGAGAACTGTGACAAACACAGAAAGACAAAAGAGTGTGGAACTCAGAACAGGGGATGAAGGCTCACCTGGCACACATAAGATCCTGGGTGTGCCTCAATACCAGGAAAACCAACCACCCAACCAACGAGTCACTCAGACTCTGACTTTTTGTAACAGCAACTGGAGAAGATTGAACTGCCCATCTGCCTCCCCCGCTGTCCCCCCCCCCATCTTGGAAGGCTACACGGTGATTTCCATTGTTACTCTGCCCCCTCCACCTGCCATCTTGGAAGGCTACACTTGATTTCCATTGTTGGAGCAAACATCGGCTGAAGGAAGATGGACAGCAGCAACGACTGCCATGATCACAGCTCTCGTTTGAGGACAGTGTATACAAGCAGGCTGCCCTCTGCCAGCAGTGAAGGACCTGAGACACAGCTCCATACTATCACCCTTGGCAGTCTGGGTGCTCCGTTAGACCTTTGAGGGCATGGACTCGGTAAAGAATTTCAGGACGAGGTAATGTATGAGACAGAGCTGGCGTGTAATAGATCTACTAAAGAAAGACATTCAACTGGAGAATAAGTGGGCACCCAAGAGGGATGCGCTTCTTCAAGAAGAGCCACGTCAAGTGTAGGTGCCAGCTCAGCACCTACCGTCTCAGCAGAAGCCATATAGACTTCTGGTGGCTCTCAAGTCACCTCTCAAAAGATTGCTGGGGAGGCACTCACTCCCCCTCCCGTTCCCTTCTGAGACATGAGACTACATGGTGGCTCCAGAGACCCCTTGGGTGAAACTGTAACCTGATAGGTGATTCCAGAGCCACTAGGGCTGCACAAGGGACCTAGGACATGTCCTCCCCGTTTCTGGTGAGAGTCCGCCTAGACAACAGCAGGCTTCTAGCTGGGAAGAAAGGCCTTAGTTGTGAACTGTGCTGGAGTCCTTGCCTCTCTGCTGGCAGGCCACTTCGGATTCTGGGGTGAGGTCCTTTTTCTGTTGTTGGCCCCTGTTGTGATCTGGCCAGGAAATGTCCCTCCCAGAGGTGCTAATGGCTTGGCTGCCAGCTTTGGGAAAGAGACTGGATCCTGAGGTCCCTGTCCACATCTACGGACCAATCCTCTGACAGATCTGTGATCTGACAACATTGTTAATACATTGGACATCGGAAGGTAGGGCCGGCTGGAGGAAGTAGGTCACTGGTGGAGGTGGCTTCGGCTTCCAGGCCCGTCCTCTGTCTGTTTCTGCTTCCCGGTGTCCCCACAAGCTCTGCACAGTATCTTGTTCCCTAGGATCTGCTGCCTCACCTCGGTCCAAAGCTGACCTTAGACTGAAAGCTCTGGAGACCTGGGTCAAAATAAACCTTTCTTCCTTCAAGTTGCTTGCCTTGAGCATTTTGTCACAGCATGGAAAATTCACACATAAGCCCTTCAGTGTCAGAGAAGGACGCCATCACCCCTATCTTACAGATGTGCTAGAGATTGGGGGGTAAAATAGCTGAGCTTGAAGCTCACACGTCTCCGAGGCTTCTGCCTTTGCTCCCAGCCTCCTTGTTACACCGAAGGGCTTCTGCCGTCTTTCCCTGACCACACTCCCAGCCTCCTTGTTTCACTGACCGGCTTCTGCCGTCTTTCCCTGACCACACTGCTGTCCCTGGACGGTCTCTGATGACCACTGCATGCTCATCAAGGGATGATGACAACTGGCAGCTCACCAGGTGTGTTAGGCCCATTTAGCATTACTGTGTGATGTGTGCTCCTTGCCTCACACTCTTGGCTGCAGCACCCCACATTCCTCTTGTGAAGGGACGGCTGGAAAGCTATCTTTATGTCTCCTGTCTCTCTAGGCCTCACTGCAATACGATCTCCTATATGGACTTTGGAGCCTCTTCCACACTTTGGGACGGTCCTGCGAAGAGCCATGTCAGAGGCAAAAGGGACTTAAGAAGTCACGTGATCAGAACCTTCATTTTACAGCTGGAGGCTTTCAGGCTGGGAGGCGGGTCAGCAAGATGGACAGGTGGGATGGTGTAGTAAGTGTGCTCTCATCTACCCAACCTCTTGCTTAGGCCCATGGCTTGCTTTCCTGTGTATGAGTTTGGCTAGTGGCCAACCTTTTGCTCTCCCACCCCTTCCCAGGGGCTGTCTCCACAGGCTCAGGATAAACAAACAGTAAGGAAAGCCAGAAGGCGTCGTTCCTAAATCCTACTCGCACTACCATGCTCATTCCCCAGGGAGGGAGAAGTAAGCTCCTCTGTGCTAGGTCTGACATGGGGTGCTGCGGGACCGGAGATAGCCACAAGGTGGCAGACTCTGCACATCCTTCTTGAGAGACCAGCTGCCACATCCTCGGAGCCTCAAGGGTGGCTGGAGCAAACTCAGGAAAAAGAAAGCGGGGGGGGGGGGGGGGGGGGGGGGGGGGGGGGGGGGGGGGG